CCTTCTTACCTCTGCTTTCCCGGCTTCCTTCAGGACTCAGCTCAAACCACCACTTTCTGCAGGAGGCCTTCCCCGCTCCCCCCACCCATCTGTTGGCACTGTCCCCCGTCCCTCAGGGTAATCTTCCATTTACTCTGTATGTATCCATTAATGGGGATGGGGATTAGACTGGGAATTTTACCAGTGTGAGGACTCTCAGGTAAGTATGGAAGCTCCTGCTACCAAAGCATGTTGGTGTCTTCTCTGAAATTTAGTGTCTTAAAGAGTTACCTAGAGCCCTGAGAGTGACTTACCCAGGGTCATACAGCCAGTAGGTATCAGAGATAGGAACTGAGTCCAGGTCTCCCTCATTCTGAGGCTGGCTCGCTAACCACTGAACCACACTGCCTCTGGTGCATGTTATTACTTTCCATTAGAATGGAATGCTTGGGAACAAACTTTTTTTTTGGGGGGGGTAATCCCTAGATTCATAGTACCTGGCACATAAGTGCTTGGTAAATTCTTTCAGATGGATTAATCAGTAGAAAGAGTAATACGTCCTACCCTCAATTGAGTAACAAGTCCTGCTGCTGTTTTTATCTGAATTCCATTCAACAATATGAGAAGAATTTTTTTAAATAATAATAGTGGTTCTAAGTCCAGCCTATGACACATATTGGTTGTGTGACCCTGCACAAGTCACTTGTGATTCTCAGAGATTGTAAATTGCAGAGACGGTGCTGACCTGCCTTGGTAGAAGTTTCCAAACGTCTGGCTGTTCTTTAGATCAGAGAAGGCACTGTATCTCGCCATTAATTATATTTCCATTAACAATGATAATATATTATCATCACTAATCATCGTTAACAATAATAATAGCAGTAGAATGTTGCCATACCAAATATAGTGGTATTCCAGCTACGCAGAATGAACAGCTTTCAAAATGTAGAGACCTGGAGGAGCAGATCAGAACCAGTTGACCCTGCGGCCCTCTCAGCTGCCAGAACTGTCACAAGGATGCTGGCAGCAAGCCTCAGACGAGGAGTTCGCCTCCCAAGCTTTTCATTCAACCACAAAAACTAGTCATTTTCTTCCCCTGCACCGTTGCCCGATCACTAAACCCGACCAAGTGATAGCAGGATAGCGATCAGTCCCATGACTATCTTTCTCTGAGCTCCATTGATTAAGGTGGGAAGAAGGAGATAATAATAATGCAAATTATAGCGGATGCTTCTAGACGCTGTCATCTCCAAATTGTCAGACGAGGCCATGTATCAGATGGACAAGCTGGAGATTGCATTCACCAGCAAACGATCCCGGAGAGACGCTGTAAATGGACCCCTTGGGCCCCAAACGGAATAGGAGGAAGAGGAACTGCCTTGGGGAAATGGAAAAGCTGCTTTAAACATCCCAAATTGTCTTTTTAATGTCAACATTCTCCCACTGTTTTTAGAGGCCTATGAATCATGGTGTACAATACTGAAGAACCCAAAATGAGTGCCATGCAGAGGGTAACAGAGGGACATGTGGTGGATGGGCTGGTGAGGGGAGAGAAAAGGGTCACAAAGGACAGCAAAAAGCAGCCTCTACTTACTGCCTATGCTGCCATCGGCAAATCATTTAACCACCTTGGGCCTCAGTTTTCTCAGCTGTAAAAGAATTGGACTAAATGACTTCTAAGGCCCCATCCTGGTCTAGATTTATGGTCCTATAATCCTATGAATGCCATCAATCACGAAGTATTAATTAAGCACGTACTGTGTTCGAGGCACTGTACTTGGTGCGGGGGGTACAACTCCAAAGAATGTACTCAAGGAACTTACATCCTAAGGGATTCCTCAGGAAAAAGTCTGGTTTGCGAAGGTAATAGGTTGGTCATGTGGCAATAATGAGGCATAACTTAGTGATGTCAGGAGAAAGTGAGGAAAGCTACCAGCACATTAAGTGGACTCCTTGTGGAACACTTCACAGGAGGACATGGAGGAGAGGCATGGATGGGTCCGATCTTCACCAGTGGAGGGAAAGCCACACTGTCAAGGTCACAGATCCACTGGAATCTTCTTAATCCGGGAAAGACAGGTAGGACAAAGCTTTCACAGACTTGCTCATTGAGCAAGCTCCTTAAGGATTCAAGTCAGAATCACAGAATCTCAGAGCAGGGATGGGCTTCACTTTGTTTGTTTATTTATTTAATTATTTAGTCATCCATTTATTTGTTTGTTCATTCATTCATTCATTCATTTACTTACTTGTCTGTCTATTTATTTATTTATTTATTTGTTCATTCATTCATTCATTTATTTATTTATTCATTTATTTATTTAGTTAGTTAGTTGTTTTTGTGAGCCATTTGGAGTTAAATGACTTGCCTAGAGTCACACAGCTAGTGAGCATTACGTATCTGAAGTCGGATTTGAATGCAAGTCCTCCTGACTCCAGAGCCAATGCTCTATCCACTGCACCACCTAGCTGCCCCCAAGGGAAGGATTTCAAAGGTCACCAGTCCAGCCCATACTTGACTGGGGATCCTGACTATACCTTCCCAAACTGTGGGTCCAGTCTCCTCTTAATGATAGACCTCCAAGGATGAGTGCCCCCTCCTTTTCAGGGCAACTCATGCCATGTTCACACGGCTGTCCTTGTCCTTGTATGGAGCTTAAACCTGCTTCCCTATGATTTCTCCCCATAGTCCTCTTCCTCCTGGAGCCAAACAGAATGAGTTGAATTCTTCTCCACGTTATAACCCTTAAAACGCTGGAAGATGGTTATGATGTCTTTCCTGTGTCTTCTCTAACCATGGCTCCACATCTCTTCAGCTGGTCCTCTGATGGCTTGAACTCAAGGTCCTTCCCATCCTGGCTACTTTCCTCTGGACGTGCTCCACTTCGTCAATGGCCTTCCTAAAAATATGACACCCCAAACAGAAGGCCATCCTCCGGGAGCTGGGTCAGAATCCTAAGTCTGGGGCTCTACTAAGATGCCATGTTTTGTGTTTCCACCATGTCATACTTTTTCTCATCGCCTGGATATGGCAGATGAGCTATGCAGAGGATAATCATCACCTGGGGTTCAGAGGAGGGAGAGGTTCCCCAAGGGCTGGTGGAGTCTGGGTAGGCTTTGTATAGGTGGTCACAACTGAGCTGGGCTTTGAAGGACACACTCAGATGGCACAGAGAAGTAGAAAGGCATACCAAATGCAGGAAATGGTGAAGGGTAGGAGGAGCGGTGCATAAACAGGGAACAATGAGTAGAACAATCTGGCTGGCTTGGAGAGTTTATTCTCTCTCTCTTTTTTTTTTGTGACTTGCCCAGGGTCACACAGCTAGTAAGTGTCAAGTGTTTGGTCTGAAGCTGGATTTGAACTCATATCCTCCTGACTTCAGGGCCGGTGCTCTGTCTACTGCGCCACCTAGCTGCCCCTCAGAGGGTTTATTCTATAAAGGAGGAGGAGATGACTTTGAAAAAACACATAGATGCCTCACCGGCCCAGCTAAGGAATTTGGACTTGACTCTGTGTCTGACCCAGGCTCAGAGTGAATGTAAATAGTAACTGTTTCTCCTTCGGCCAGCAACCCTGAGGATCTTCCCCTCCCAGTTTGATTTTTTTTTTAATATTAAAGGGACCATCCCTTGACTCATTTCTTAATGCGTATTGCTTCACTCAAAGTGAGAACCTGAAAAGACTTTAGCGCTAAAGGGCCAGGGTCTCCCACTGCATCCTGGACAGTCTCCAGGCATCCTGACTGATATGTGGCCACCGGACCCAGACGGCTCTGGAGGAGAAAGTGAGGCTGGTGACTTTGCACAGCAGCCCCCACCCCCACCCCTACTCAAATCAAAGTCAATCACAAGTCATGTCATCACCTCCCTGATGTCATGGTCCTCTTTCGGAACAAAGGACAAGCACGACCTGCTGCAAGAAGCAGCACTTTTCTGGACAGAGTTGTGAGGGCTGATCTCTCACCCTTGGGCCCACCAACCTGTCTGAGTAAGGTGCAGTGTGGTACACTAGAAAGGGCTGTGCAGCCAGGGGACCTAGGGTCAAAGCCTGCCCCTGCCATCGGCGTCTTTGGACAAGTCATTTAATCACCCCAGACCTCAGTTTCTTCATTTGTAAAATGAGGGAGTTGGACTCAAGTCCCTTTCACTCAAAGTCAATGATTCTGGCAGGCCAGGGCTCTCCTTAAGAGTTCTCCAATCAGAGCCATCAGCAGCAAAGGGTAGGATGACTGGGGACTCTGCCCCATAGTGCTGACATAGGAGGGGGCTGTACATACCTGCCTTCTTGTGTAATCCCTTTGCACTCCCCAATACACACACGCACACACACACATATACACGTGCACGCACACACACACACACACACAATGAGCAGGATGGCGGCTATGTCTCCTGGTACAGCCTTCGCTGACCAAGACAGGAAGGTTATTCCCTCCAAGAAGAGGGGTGGAATCCCCTGCTCTCCTAGGGCAGTCCTGGCTCACATGCCCTGGGGCAGTAGAATTCCTAAGAAAGCTATTCCCAATCCTGGTCTTATTCAAGTTATGAAAGATGATGCAAGTCCAGTGAGAGAAGGAATGGGAATCTGGGCAAGTGTGGAAAACAAAGAGAAGGTAGGGGGCTGCCTGAGAATCCTCTCTCTACTCGCTTTGTAAGCGGTGATAAGCATGTAACCAGGTCTGGGGCTTTTGTGGAGGGGGCGACATTGGCAGAAAGAGGGCTGAGGGAGGTCTATCGTGACCTGCCCTCCCTCACTTTATCCTCTCTGCACGGCTCAGAGGCAACCAGCTTGAAGCAGTGACCAGCAGACAAGTGGGAAAGAAAGTCTTGGGGGACTCGGGTCCTAAGAGAAGGGTTTGCTCCAGCACCCAGAAGCCCCCCTCCCCACCTCCCCGACTTGGGCAGCTGGCCGCAGATATAACGGCAGCCTCCTTCTCCCCGGCTCAGTGCGTGTGTGTGTCTGTGTGTGTGTGCATGCCTGCCTCTGCCTCTGCCTGGCATGCGGGAGGTTACCGCGCATCTGCCTCCGATTATTAATCAGCTTAGGTGATGTCAGTCGGGGAAGGAGGGACCCGGGAAGAAACGGTTAGGCAGGAGGCTGAAGAGGAGAGTGGGGCTGGGGAAGACCCCCCTTCCGAACTGCGGGGCTTGCGCTCTGGGACAAGCCAGAAGCCAGCGAAGCTGCCGCAGCCTGCGTGGGTGGCTGGGGAGCTCAGCTAGTCAGAGCAGAAGGAGCCCGAGGAGAAGGCAGAAGGAAGGGAAGGATGGACCCGTCCGCAGCCCTGCTGCCCCTCGCCGCCAACGACAGCAACGCCTCAGAGCCTGGAGGGGGCAACCTCACTTCTGGCTGTGAGTAGAGTTGGGGGCTGGGGCTTCCCCCGCCCCCTGCCCTCATGCCCGCCGTGCACTTGGTGGAATGGGAGACAGGAGCGATCCTCCTCAGGACCAAACTGCCCCGGAAACTTTCTGTGGGGTGGGGGGGATGGAGGGAGGAAGGGGTCAGTGCAGGGACAAGCAGAAAGAAGACCTAAGCTCAACTCACCTTGAAAGGTGGGATTACTATTTCTGTGAACATGGCAAGTCACTTCACCCCACTCCGGGGCCTCAGTTTCCCCCTCTGTAAAATAAGTGGGTTGGACTAGATGTCTTCTGAGGCCCTTTCTAGCTCTACTTCTGAGCCTGTGAATCTGCGTGACCTTGGGCAAGCCACTTAACCTCACCCGGGCCTCAGTTTGCTTATCTGTAAAACTGGGGGCGGGGTGGATGACTGGTGACTGAGGATCCTTCCAGCTCAAGATGTAGGAACCCATCATTCTCAGAACTCTAGGCATCCCTGGTCTTCTCCTAAAACTTGAAGGGAAAGCAGATGAGGACAGGGGAGAAAGCAGGGTCGGGAGGGGCTAGGACTGAGAGAAGAGGGGTGTGCCCTGGGGCCAGGGAGTGTGTGTGTGGGAGGGAGGGGGGTCTTCCCCTATGGGCCAAAGGGGATAGGGAAGGGGGAGAACACCAGGCTAAATGTTGGATTATGGGGAGAGAGAAGCCAGTGGATAGGAAGAGAGGGAATAAGAGGAAGGAGCATCTTCCCTGCCTGGGAGTCTCATTCTGTTCCTCACACAGCATTAGTGGGGTCTGCAGCACCATGGTGGGAGGGGGAGGGGGAGGGCTAAGAGACGCAGGCATGAAGGGCTTCTTGTAGGTGAACTGAGGATGGCAGAGCCCTTGGGGTTCACAGGGAGGCGATCTCATGACAGCTTGGGAGAAAGGGAATGATAACGCCCTCCGGTTTGACAGAAGCAGAGACCTTGATTTAGAAGGGGCTTGTGAGGAGTGGAGCCCAAATTCTCTGGTTTAGCAGAAGAAGAAAGTGAGGGGAAGTGACGTGCCCCAAGGCTACCCACTTGGTGAGAGACCTGGTCAGGATTCAACCCAGGTGTTCTGACTCCCCTGCTTCTCATTGCTGAGGTTGAGGGAGAGCATTGTCCTCAGCAGCTCTTGGGGGACAGGGCCGGGGGGAGGGTTTGGGGGAGGAATGGACAATAACTGTAAGAACTCCTGTTTCTGGGGCCCTCCAAGGTTTCCTGAGGGCTCTCCTCACCACAGTTCTGTGAGCTGAGCAGGAAAGAGGTATACTTCTCTGGATAATTTAGCTGGGCTGGCTGTGGGGCTGAGCTGCTCAGAGCCTAGCCAGTCTGGGGGCTTAGGAGAGGGAGTCAGACTGAAGGAAAGGTAGAGAGTGGGGGAAATTCCAATGATGCAGAAGTCAAAGAGAGGGCTGCAATCTTTACTGTGACTAGTAGAGAACCCCAGGGGCAGTGAGTGCTAACAGAGTTTAGATGAGGAAGACTGTGTGTCCATGTATGTACATGTATGTGTACACGTGTGTCAGTCTGTGGGTATGTGGAGGGTGTGTTTTAGTGGAGCTCAGTTTGGCTGATGCATTAGATAGCAGTCATCAGGAAAGCCACCCAGACAGCACAAGACAGCTTCTCCTCATGGCTGCTCTAAAACAAGAATCCAGGGGCTCAGAACTGTCCCTTCTGAGAAAACCCTTTACACCCATTTGGTTACTGAAGGAAGGGGTGTGTGGCACTAGCCTGGGAGGAGCCTGGGGATGAAATCTGTCATTCACGGACATATTCCACGGGTTCATTTCTGGACACATTCCTGACATTGTGTGCCTTCAAAGGAAATTCAGGAGGTAAAGATGGGGGCCCCTTCACAGGTGGTGAGCAAATCTGGTGAAATTCACTTATTTGCTGCTAGAGGTTGTTGGGGGGAATAATGGCAGGGAAAGAAGAGAGGATCCATTTGAGCCGATGGGAGGACACAGCCCTGGGAGCTACTGGAAACATGAATGAATTAATGGATGCATGGAGGGATGGATGGATGGATGAAATGAATGGATGAAAAGGCATACACTAAGTGCTTACTATGTGCCAGGCACTATGCTAAGCATGAGGGGTACAAATACAAACAGTGAGAGTCCTGCCCTCAAGGAGCTTACATTCTAGTAAGCTGAGACCACATATCTTGGGAACAGCTGGCCAGGGAAGGCATGTCTGGTCACTTCGTAAACCTTAACATGTTTTAGACCCCAGAGGATAAGAGCACAGATTTAGAGCTTGGAAGGGACCTTGGAGACCATCTGGTCCAATGCTTTCATTTTTAAAATGAGTAAACTGAGGCCCAGGGAAACGAAATTACTTGCCCAGAGTCTCACAGGTAAGTGACAACTTTGGGATTTGAACCCCGGTTCTTTGACCTCCAATCCAGAGCTCTTTCCACTGTACCAGATGCCTCCCAGGTAGTAGCTCGAGGCACATAAAGGCTAAATGACTTGTCCATAGTCATAAATAAATAAATTGAAGCTAGGTCTAAATGGATGGACCACACACACACACACACCCCAGGACAGGAAAGAAAGCGGTGGGGAGGGCCAAGTAGGATGGGATAGAAAGGTGCCCTGGGCCCAGCCCTGGAATACCTGGGAGTGAAGTAAGGGGAAAGGCAGAGGTGGGGTAAGACAAGCTGGTGTAATGTTCCTTTGTAGAATGTGAGTGGCTGGCTGTGCCAGCTGTGCCAGCTGTGCCAGCTGTTCCAGCAGCATGCTTTCTCTGTCCCCAGTTTCACCACCACGCCTGTGGCGAGTGTCCTATGTCAACATCATCATGCCTTCTGTGTTTGGCATCATCTGCTTGCTGGGGATCGTGGGGAACTCGATGGTCATCTTCACCGTGGTGAAGAAGTCCAAATTCCATGGGTGCAACAACGTCCCCGACATCTTTATCATCAACCTTTCTGTGGTGGACCTGCTCTTTCTCCTGGGCATGCCCTTCATGATCCATCAGCTCATGGGCAATGGGGTCTGGCATTTTGGAGAAACCATGTGCACACTCATCACGGCCATGGATGCCAACAGCCAGTTCACCAGCACCTATATCCTCACGGCAATGGCCATTGATCGCTACCTGGCCACGGTCCACCCCATCTCCTCGACCAAGTTCAGGAAGCCCTCTGTGGCCATCCTGGTGATCGGCCTCCTCTGGGCACTCTCCTTCATCAGCATCACCCCAGTGTGGCTCTACGCCAGACTTATCCCCTTCCCTGGAGACACTGTTGGCTGTGGCATTCGCCTGCCCAACCCAGAGACTGATCTGTACTGGTTTACCCTGTACCAGTTCTTTCTGGCCTTTGCTGTGCCCTTCGTGGTCATCACAGTAGCCTACGCACGGATCCTGCAGCGGATGACGTCTTCAGTGGCCCCGGCTTCTCAGCGCAGCATCCGGCTCCGGACCAAGAGGGTGACGCGCACAGCCATTGCCATCTGCCTGGTCTTCTTCGTGTGCTGGGCACCCTACTATGTGCTGCAGCTGACCCAGCTCTCCATCAGTCGCCCCACTCTGGCCTTCATTTACCTCTACAATGCGGCCATCAGCCTGGGCTACGCCAACAGTTGCCTCAACCCCTTTGTCTACATCGTGCTCTGTGAGACCTTCCGCAAACGTCTGGTGCTCTCAGTCAAACCGGCTGCCGTAGGGCAGCTCCGGACGGTCAGCACTGCCCCCACTATGGAGGAGATGACCGAAACCAAAAGTGCCTGACACTCCCTCCGTGCTCCGGGCACTGCCAACGAACGCAGCCCAACCAAGACCAGTTAGTGGGGGGCTGGGGGAGGATTATGGGTAAAAGACCCAGATAAAACTGGGTTCAGGTGACGCTGAGCCAACTGGGAGCCATGGTGAGAAACCAGGCATATGTCCGAACCCCCACCTCGGGAGGGTGTGCCCAGCAAAGGTCTGAGTGAGAGTGACAGAAAGCAATCGGATAACGAAAGAGAAACGTTCCATTTAACCTTCTAGTCACATCTCCTCATGCTGCACATAGACGGTTGGCTCTGTCATCCACCATTTCCCCAAGGAGCATCTGGGAAGCTTCTGGCTGGCTCTAGACTCAGGCCTCACCAAGAGCTGGAGGAGCAGGAGCTGAAGTGGGCTGGGAGGGCCTGGGGGAAGGGGCTGGGCCAGTGACCCCAAAGCTCTTCCTCATTTCTCCTCTGCATGAAAAACCAAACCAAACTAGTTTTTCTCCTGAGATGGTGGATGAAAAGAGACAGAGCAAGCCCTCTCTCCCACTCTCTCAGCACCCCAACAACATCTCTGCTTTAGCTGCTTCTCTTGGGAAATGCATGCTTTGGGGAAAGGGGGACTGGCAATCCCCTGCTGTCCCCCATGCCTGGAAGAGACCCTCCTTCCTTTCCTCAAAGGCCCAGCTCAGCTGCCATGTCCTCCCTGTACCCACCCCCGAATTCTGCCCCCTCCCTCCTCCAGGGACTTTGCCTGGGTCCCTGCTTTGCTTCTCTAGTCTTTTAACTTGTGTTATATTTATCCATGCACCTGTCAAATCCCCTATTTGACTGCAAGCACAATGGGGGCAGGGGTTAGGTCATCGTTCAGCTTTGTATCTCTAGCATGGGGACCAGGGCCCTGCACACAGCAGGGGATTAATTAATGGTTTTTGTATTGAATTGAATTGAGAAGCCAATAACAGCTAAGAAGACTAGGATAGCGAACAAGGCTGCCATCTTTGGGGGGGATGGAATGCTGGAGAGGGGTTGAGAAAGGAAATGAAAACCACAAAAATTACAACGCCTTTGTATATGCTGTGTGTTTACTCATCTGTGTATGTGTCATATTCCCCAACAGAGTGTAAGCTCCCTGTGGGCAAGGGTTGTTTCCTTCTTGTCTGTGTATCCTCAGTGCCAAGCACAGTGCCTGGCATGCAGAAGGCACTTAATAAATGCTTCTTGGACTTCATTTTTGTACTTCTCTCCCCTTCTCCCAATAGTGCCTTGCACATAATAAATACTTGGGTTTCATATTGTACTAAACTGAATTAGAAAACCAAAAATTCCCAGGAAGAATGAGGCAGAAGAAACAAAGGCTTCTTTTGTTCTATATACATATGTATTTATAGTGTATATATGTTGTGTTTGCTCACCTGTTTATGCTTCAAGCCTCACCCCCATTGAATCCTTCAGGGGCAGAGAGTGGTTTTTTTTGTTTGTTTGTTTTCGTAACACCTTGGCTTAGCACAGTGCCTGGCACCTAGCAGACACTTACTAAATGCTTACTGGATTGGACTGAATTAAATTGGATCTTGGGGCAAAGATCACAATTCAGCTACAGTACATGTGATTTCTGGGGCTCTCTCTGCCATCAGTAGAATTCACCAAAGATTTATTAAGCACCTGCTATGTTCCAGACACCATGCTGGGCACTGGTGATGCAAATGCAAAGGATGAGATGCTATGTGTTTGACATATTTAGGTATGCACACGTGTACACACACACACACACACACACACACACACACACACACACACACACCCCTAATCGTCCATCTAAAGCAGTCTGAAGTCTCTCACTGGTTTAGAGCTCTCCAGATTGGAGGAAGAAGAGGTTCAGGCAGAGTTAGATCTTAGAGGCTGCACTCCAGGAAATGAAAACAAAAATAGAAATAAAAATACAGAAGGGAGAAGGAATGTGTCTCTAAATCCACAAGGAAGGATCAGCAAAATAGACTGTCTTGACTGTACCTGTCAGGCTTGAGTGAGGGTGGGAGTTCGGCTGCCTCTTAGGGGCACAGCTCTGGGTCCGCCCTCCCCTGGACCATGGCTGGAGCTCAGGGGCTCTCCCCTGGCCCTTCCCCATTTGATCTCCCTTAACAGCCCCAGCAGGGGCTCACTCACTGGGACATCTGGCCAGTATAAGGACCCAGATTATAGCCTGGACCACCGGGAGGCAGCCACCATCTTCTTCTAGAGCTCAAAGAAAGGCACCTGGGCATAATCTACACCTTGCACCACTCCTAAGATGAGGAGCTTCTCAGCAGCCGCTGCTGACATGGTGGGATCAGTTCTGCGCCGAAAACTACCCTTAGGGCAGCTCTCCGCAGTCCGGTTATCACCAGAAACAGCAGAATCATCGCCTTATCTGTAGCTTCTGGTTAGCTCCCTTTGGGGATGGCAGCTAGTACTGGTCTGAAGCAACGGAGTGCGGTTGGGTGGGCATGGAAGGAAAGCCTTCCCCTGCCTTGGGGGTTAACTGGCAACAGGCAAGGAATAAAGCGGGGGGGGGGGAGAAGGAAAGGAGCATTTCTTACCTCCTTTTAATAAGATAATGAAATAATATTATATATAATATAAAATTATTGTTATATAAAATATAGATTTATTACCTCCTTTAAACAAGACAATGTAATAGTATTGTATATAGTATATAATAATTATTATAGAATACTATGGAATAATTTATTGCCCCCTTTAAATAAGATAATGTAATAGTGTTTTTATATGGTATGTAATAATTATAATACTATAGAGTAATTTATTGTCCCCTTTAAATAAGATAATGCAATAATATTTGATCTATTATATAATTATTATATGGTAATCTATAGTAATTCATTACCTCATTTTGACAAGATAATGTGACAATATTTTATCTATTGTATAATTATCATTATTCCAGGTCTGGCTCTGTGACTCTGTATAATTCTGCAAGGTTTGCAAAGTGCTTTGCTTGCATTATCTCCTTTGATGCTCACCGACTGCCCATCGGGCAGGCAGCCCATGCTGGCTCAGGCACTAGAGGGTGACCCACACTAATCTGGCATGCTGAGCAGGACCCAGGAGGAGATGAGAATATTATGGAGCTAACCTACCATGCAGTGGTCCAATACTCCTTGGCAGATGGAGGTTGTGAACCCCCAAAGATGGGGGGGAGTTGGAAAAGCTAGATAAGAGCATGGCATTCACGTGGGCTGTGCTGGGGCTGGGATGCCTCTGCCCTCTGCTCCGCTCTCAGTGTCCAGAACAGATCGCACGCTCTGTGCCCCACTGCCCCAGGCTCCAATCGGGTGCCAGTCACTGCTGCTCTCCTAGCCGGCTGGTCCAAGTTGCTCAGAGTTAAGGACAGGATGGCGCCAGTCATGAAGAGTTAGGGTGTGTGGAACGCGGTAACCGTGGCACAGCTACACAGCCTGCACAGAGTGCCAATGCCATGGACAGACAGATGAGCTTCTTCAGATGATTACTTTTTAGAAACTGTTGCCGAACCACAGTTTTGGTCAATGAGCCAGAACAGACAGAACTCCTGGGAGAAGTTAACGCTATAACTGTATGACTCAGAGTCGTAACTAGCAGGGGGCAAATGGAACTTTGTCCAGGGAGCCAACATTCAGGGGTGCATTTCCTACCCATGGTGACCACCGTGCCCATACCTCCCCACAAGGTGCCCTGGAGTCATGGGACACAACTATGTCTATCTGCTACACCCAAGGGCCTGTCACTGTGGGGCCCCTCACATAGGACCACCTTCCTGTCCATTCACCTTAGGGCCCAGGGCTGGGATTCTCTGATGGGATGGACTCCTCCTACCTGGCACAAGTACACCTCTGCTCCCTCCTCTAACCCAATTCCCACTCCCAAGCAGCTGAGTTTTCCCTTTGTACAGTTTATGCTAGTTGGGACTGGTCTAGGGGCAGCTAGGTGGCACAGTGGATAAAGCACCAGCCCTGGAGTCAGGAGGACCTGAGTTCAAATCGGCCTCAGACCAAACACTTGACACTAGCTGTGTGACCCTAAGCAAGTCACTTAACCCCATTGCCTAGCAAAAAAAAAAAAAAGGCAAACAGACCTGGTCTAGTAAGTTTAACGGGAATCAATTAATCAAAAGCATTTATTAAGTGCCGACTGTGCTCCAGGCTACATGCCAGGCACTGAGGATTCAAAGACAAACATGAAATAGTCCTTGTGCTCAGGGGAGGGCATGGTAGCTTATACGCTAAAGCTGCTAAAACTAAAGTTGCTAAATTCTTAAGGAATCTAAGCATTTGTATCGCTAATGGAAGAGGGCCAGATCTTAGGAATCTGAGCCCCTTAATGAAGACAAGATGAGTCTTATATACAGAAAGACCGTAGGAGGGATCCAGGAGTGGCCAAGTAGTCTGGGGTGACTGGAGGATCTAGATGGGAGTGGCTGGCAAGCTGGAGTGAACAGAACACCAGGGACCTGGACCACGTGGCCACGGGAGAACGGAGTCTAGATAGTATTAAGGATAGGAAGTGGCAAGGGGTAATACGGAGACAACAGAACAGAATTGCGGCATTGGGTGTAGCCACAGTGAAAGGCCAGTTGAGAGGATTACAGTCTCAGGTAAACACCAGAGATTTGGGAAACATCCGGGATTTTCCTTTTTGGGGTCCAGATCCCAAAGACATGGTCTCTTCCTTTTAGGGGTTCAGATCTCATGCCCATCATTCCCCCCTCAAACAAATGGGACCCAAATTCTTTTGGGGTAAAGGTCAAAGGTCTTGGCTTCTGAAACTGCTTCCTGCCGTCAAGGGGCATAGAGCTGTTTGGGGGTCACCTTCCCTGGAGGAAGTGGCAACAATCATAGACTCTCAGAATTTCTGGTTTGGAAGAATGCCCACTGTGGCATCCCCAGCAGGTGCTCAAGTAGTCTGTGCTTGAAGACCCTGGCAAGGTCAAACTCCCCTTCTGAAGGCAGCCCATCCCACTTTGGGACAGCCCTGTTTGCTAGGCAGTTTTTTATTAGATGAGGCCCCAAATGGATTTCTTTGTGGATTTCTGCCCTCTAGGGATGAGCAGAGCAAAGCTACTCAGAGCCCTGGGACTACAAGCCTCTTCATGAACCCGGGCAAGTCAGTCCACTTCCTGCTGTGGACCTAAGATTCCTCAAGTAGTCACATATACACATATATGTATATATACACCTATGTGCTTCTAAGGTGTATAACCACCTGGTTATTAGGGTTAGTAGAATCTAGACTTGAACCCGGGTCTTTTGCCTCCAGGCCTATCCCTCAGCTACTATGGAGTCAGATGGCTTGGGTTTGAATCCCAGCCCTTCCACTTACTGGCTGTGCGACCTTGCTCAAATCGTTTCATTTTCCTGGGCCTCGGTTTCCTCCTCTGTGAAACGAGGGGGTTGGATGAGATGGCCTGGAAGGTCCCTTTCAGCTCTAACCTGAGAGGCCGATGGGTCAGGAAGGATGGACGTGGCACCTGAGTGAGGTTTGAAGGGAGGGACTCCAAGAGGTTGGGGTGAGGAGGGAGAGAATTCAAGGCATGGGGCACAGCCTAAGCAAACCTACTAGGTGGGAGTTGGAATGTCCAACTCCCTTCATTTGAAAAAAAAAAAAGTCAGTGCCCCTTCATTCTGTGGCTGAAGAAGCTCAGAACTTCAGTGGGAAAGCTGTTTTTTCCACAATCACACAGGGGGCAGCTAGGTGGCACAGTGGATAGAACACCGGCCCTGGATTCAAGAGGACCTGAGTTCAAATCAGGCCTCAGACACATAGCACTTACTAGCTGTGTGACTCTGGGCAAGTCACTTAACCCCATTCCCTAGCCAAAAAAGAAAAAAAAACAATGAAAACACAATCACACAGGCAGGAAGCACGCAGAGTTGGGCTTTGAACTCCATCTTTCAAAGCATCATGAGGCTTCACTGCAGCTGGAAAGTCATTCAGCTCTAGTTTTCTCTTTCACCTGCAGGGCTGCCCATCGACAAATGGAGCCTGATAAAGCTAGGGCGGAAAGTTAGCCCAATACCCAGGGGTGACCGAGGGCAGCCAGGCTTGCCAGGAGCGCCTGATAGCCTGGCCTGTAGAATAAAGAATAAACCGTGCAGGGAAGGGGAGGGCGATGTCGCTCACTGCTCTGGAAATGCAGGGGGAAGGCAGCAGCCTTGGCGATTTGGGGC